ACTTAGTGTCCTCTTCATTGGTGTTAGTGCGGAGCATAATGTCTCTTTCATTGGTGTCTGTGGGGGCACAGGGAGTGGATAGCTGAAAAAGGTACCTGTCCAAATCAATGTTGTGAAACATGCTGCTCAGCACTTTGCATCCAGCAGGAAAACTACGAAGTCTGTGCAGCTCCGGTTGTGCCTGGCCATTCTATACAGCCACATGCGAGGAGTTCTGCTCCATGGTGTGGGGTGTGGCTCATAGACTCATTCTACCACTGGGTACTGGAACAATCTGCTTTCCCACAGTTGTCACCTAATGCCACCCTGCAGATAAGGGTCATGGGTTATTGCCCAATATGCCCATGCCCTCAACACTCGCACTGGATGAAATGGTGAGGTTGATATGGGAAAGCTTAAAAAAATATTGGTGGTGTTGTAGCACACTTAAGCACCCTGGTGGTGCCACCACTGCTTACCTTTGCAAGGCACGTAGCTTGCGGGAAAGAAATCTGAGCAGCTTTAAACCTGAACAATTATGGAAGTCTCACAAAGTCTTCCTAACATCTCTTTAAACATAGCTGAATGGCTGCTCCAAATCTGTACTCTGCATAGATCTCATTACACCCCCCAAAGTGTTTTTTGTTTTAGTAGACAATAATCCTCCTAATTCTGCCTGTTTCCTGTCCCTCAATTCAAGTTAACCTGTACTCCATTTTATTTTATTTTTTTTTAAATATTAAAGTCCTGCCTAAGAATGGCTTCTCTCTGGTTTAGTTTAACATTTCTGCTGAAACTGCTTTTCTCTGACCTTATAGTTAAGCTCCACCAACTGCTATTCCTCTGAGTGTACAATAAACATTTCTAAGCAATCTGAAATCAACTTTCATTATGATTACACTAAATTGTTGAAAGCCTGATTTTGAATAAGTACTTTAAAGAGCTTAACATTATGCATCTTGTACACCGCAATTACCTAAATCCCAAAGTACAGGTTTGGTAGGTATATTTTTTGCTTAAGTTAAGGCCTTTATACTTCTGGACTTAAGAGTCCCATCAGTTAATTTTCAGATATGACTTTATCAAAGCTAGCAATGTTATTCTGACTTCTCATCTAAGAGAATTACAATGAGAACTCTGCTATGTTTCCATAAAAGTAGAATCAGTTCCATGCTTTGCCTTGCACTTAACACTTTGGAAGAACTTGGAAGGGTATTAAATCTAAAGCTTTTGTTAACATAACTCACCAACCAATCACAACATGACCATCAGGTACTCGTCTGTGTACACTGTGAATTATTGAAGAGCTCATATCCCTCAGGAACAAATAGTGATGACATTTCTTTAATTAAACCACGGCAAGTTTCCACACATTTATCAAATAATGTACACTGAAACGCGTTGATCCTTTTATTGTGCACATCTTTAGTTTGTAAGTTACATGCAATATGAGTTATACAATTTTGGTATGTTTACATCAATTGAATCTGCATGTTCATTACACTATATTAAAAATAATAAGAGTACATTACAAAGAAATGTTCAAAGCACATCTGTTTTATTTTGATAGCTTATGTAAGGTTCCTCAGATCGGTGTCCACAGACGTACATGTTAATAGTAAACACAATATGCATTCTTTGACTGGCAATTAGACGTAGACCAGATTTTTAGGCACAGAGAACCTTTAGTAAAACACACCATTGTATTTTATCTCTTAAAAACTCTTTAGATAGAAGAAAAATAACTTTCTTATATACAAAATACAAAAAAGTCTATTTTAAATGTCATCTAATTTTTAATTTAGCCTCATTCTAATTTCACCAGGAATATTTAAAAAAATAAAAATAAAAAAAATGTTATCACAGTTTAAATTCACACAATACTGGATTCTGAGTTGACAAAGATTGATAGAAAAACCATAAAATGTCAAGTTTTTATATTTATTAAGCATTCAGAAATATTATTATGTGAATAAAAGGCACATTTTAAATGCTTTATTGGTGATTTTTATTTGTATCTTATTGTAAACATGCGTGTAAGATGTATACAACTGTTTGTGCATAGATTTCCACTACTTTTACTTGACATTGCATTTACTGGTATGTGTTTTGTGAGCACACATTTGTTTCATAGAACAACTGTTCCATAAACATGCACAATGCACAAACATGTGACTGTTTATGCACTGAGCAGACATTTTCCTTTCCTTGAGATAACAGCAGTAATCAAAATCATTTTGGACAATGACTTTATTTAAAAGGTTGGCCAGAGGGTGACTACAGAGATTACAGAGAAATATAGAACACCAGAACCAGAAGATGAGAGAGTCCAAGATACTTTTAATTGTTCACAATTCAATGACATAAAACAGCTGGATACCCATCGAGAGCAGCCATGTTGTTTGCCAGCCACTGGACCAAACCTAGTGAACATGTTTAAGTTTCCTTTGACTTGATCACACTAATAGGTTTTGAAGTCTCAGCGCCCTTCCAATAGGTCTTTACTGAGATTGCAAACAATCATTGACATGTGATTATTTCCTGATCTGGAAGGTATCAGACTGGATAAGCAGCAATCATCTCATGTCTATGGGTGTTTTATCAATAAATACAGCCAAATACGTTTAATTATGATATCAAAGTTTTAGCTGAATGCCATTTTAGGTTTCTAGTATAAACAGTGAAAACTTCAAAGAGATCATGTACAGACAAAAATGCTAAAGAAAAACTTGCATGAACATATACTACCTGTGTATTGGGGATTACTGCTTCCAACAGATTTATTAGAGACCGGCATATAGCTTTATGACAGTCTTTTTTAATAGTAGTTTTACTAAGCTGAAAATCCCTTATCTACTGGGAATCCATCTGTGATGCAACAATTATGTCTTATGCTAAAGTCCTACACAGAGACCCCTTCCCTAACTGCTGTTTGAGGACTGACATCTCACTAGTAATACGGAAGGTCTCTGCGTTTTATGGTCACAGTATAATACCTGATTTTTACCAGGAGGCACTGCTTCTGATGAAATTTTAAAGGCTTCAAGTGAAGTCCTAAATTACATTTTCCAACCCTGGTGAAATCAGAATGTGAAGTTGTAGATGAGGTATAAGGAGATTCGTCTGTGTTACTGCACAAAGTGGTTCAAAGACAAAAATGTTATAAGGAAATTAACTTGGAAAGCTCTTTTAATGTCATTTGGCTAAAGATAACCTTTAAAAAAGCTATTTGATGATTACATAAGTCTAGTATTTAATTTACATTATATGTATAATACAGCCCAAATATGATCTAATGTGTTTAATACAAGCAGTGCATCTCTACAGTTCACATTTGTATACTGCTACTATAGAGGGCCCACTGGCAAAATTCCATGAAAATCTTTCTGTACAGCAGGGGTGCACACAGAAGCTGCCAATGCAGCCATACCATCCCTATTATATTATATCACGTGGCTGCATAGGGGAGTCCCTTACACTTGGCAGGCTTCCTGCACAACTATGCAATCAATGAAGATTGATTTTTTGGTACCTCACCTGCTGGGCATTTTATGGTAAATTATTTTGTGAACATGCAAGGGTAGAGAGGGCTTCACATAGTTGGGTGGTTTGATTTAAATGTGGGGGTAATTTGAGCCACTGATTCAACTCAAACCCATACCCATATAGCTATGCCAGCTTCACAAACAGCAAACGTATTATTCTTTTGTAATTTGTCATAATATACTTGGATAGTTTACGAATTCTTAGCATTCGGTATTATTAAAAGCAGTGTCATATACATATTTTATTATATAGCGTGAGAATCATGCACAAATAAAGATATGTCTGAGCAAGACAAATTAAACATATTAAGCAAGAGAAATTAAAGAGAATTATATTTGAAATGAAATTGAGTCGCATGCACAAAAAGTTGTCTAAACTAATCAATATGGAACCAATTCATCAATCATATAGTATTCAAAATAATTTTAGCCGAATGCTTTACAGTGTCTGATCTTTCTAATAAAACATATATTTTTAAAACCATATAAAATTTTTCAAGAAAAAAAAACACACAAAAGGAACCATTAACAAACAATACATGTCTAGACATTGTCTCTTTTAGAAAAAGTAATTGGTAATAATCTATTAAAAATTCAGATCTGACACAGATAAGGCCTATTAGTAAATTAAAGAGCTAATGTTCTTGCTATATTACAAAAGGACATCTAGAACCATAGAAATGTTTATTAGTTAGCCTCATGCAATTTGTCTTTGGCATTAAAATATCATGCCCTTTATTGATGAAATAGTGCCTTTGGTACATTTTGTATTTTTAAAAACTTAAGCTTTAATAAACACCATTTGCTTATGTTCATTAAAACAATATAGTAGGAAGAACGCTTTGACAAAAAATATAGATCTTCAATAGAATCTATGAAATGTCCTGCAATTGTTTGTGATAAGTTGTTACATATACAAATCTGCTATTTACTGAAAACTCTTGCTATTACAGTAGGCATAGAAATAATCAAGCTTCTCCATTAAAGTGAGCTATAGAGCTTCCGTTAAATACATTTATATACATTGGATAAAACTGCAAGCATCTCTCAGTATGTTTGCATATGTTGCTTTTGAAATAAAAAAAATTGAATTTTCTCAGCTGTAGTCTATTAATTAAACATTCTTTTACAGAACTGCATCAGCTTGAGAAATGAACCAAATAATACAATCTTCATCAGTTTATTTTTTTAATCAGATACCTGCCCACCTATTGCTTGCATCCTTTCAATTATAACATGTAAGCAATTTGTGGATAGAAAAGCAAAAATACAGTATTTCACAAAGAGACGACAAAATGCCATGTAGCTGGTAACAGAAAAAAATATTTTTTATCACAAAACAAACACTCTTTTAAACTTAAATCTTCTAAAAGGGTAAAGATTTTGCCCCAGGATACATACTCTAGTTACTGATCCTGTGTCAGTGCTCATAAAATATTGACACATTTCTGACATATAACTGCGTTTGGATGTCACCTATACTTCTTTGCGTACAGTAATTCGAACAAAGCTGAACATCTTGCCAATGGCTTCAAACAATGGGTCACAGAATGTGTGGATGCAGATGGAGTAGACTCGGCTAATGCACTGAATTTCAATCAAGTAGCTCTTTATGCATGGAACTACAGCCCAGATGTGTAGGAATGAAAGGATGGCAAAATAAATGCCCCAAACAAGTGACAATGGTATTCCAAAGATTGCAGACAGTAAGCGGTAGAACCAGTATTTAGTCACAGTGAATGTAGTGAAGCTTGCTTTCCAAATCCCATCAAAACTATGGGTCCCCTCAGGTTCAGCTATCACATCTTCAAAGTCAATCTGAAATAAAACAAAAGAAAACAAATAAAATGTAATACAAATTTTACAAAGGTGGGAAATATACATATACATCCATGATAATGTTATTAACATTGGAGAAAATAATTATTTGATCCCCTGAAGATTTTGTAAGTTTGCCCACTTACAAAGAAATGAATGATCTCGAATTTTTATCATAGGTGTATTTTAAATGATAGAGACAGAATATCAACCCAAATTCAGGAAAAACACATGATACAAATGTTATAAATTCTGTGAGTAAAATAAGTATTTGATCCCCAATCAAAACACGACTTAGTACTTAGTGGAGAAACCCTTGTTGGCAAGCAGAGAAGCAAGAGGTTTCTTGTAGTTGGTTACCAGATTTGCACACATCTCAGGAGGGATTTTGGTCTACTCTTCTCTACAGATCTTCTCTAAATCCTTAATGTTTCTTGGCTCTTGCTTGGCAACTCAAAGTTTCAGCTCCCTCCATAAATTTTCTATAGAATTAAAGATTGGCTAGGCCACTCCTTGACCTTAATGTGCTTCTTCTTGAGCCACTTCTTTGTTGTTTTAGCAGTATTTTTTGGTTCATTGTCCTGCTGGAAGACCCATCCATGACCCATCTTCATTTTTATGGCTGAGGGAAGAAGGTTCTCATCCAAGATTTTACAATACATGGCCCCATCCATTGGCTCCTCAAAGTGGCAAAGTTGGCCTGTACCTTTAGCAGAGAAACAGCCCCAAAGCATAATGTTTCCACCTCTGTGCTTGACTGAAGGGGATGGTGTTCTTAGAGTCATAGTCAGCATTTTTCTTCCTCCAAACACGGCGAGTCGAGTTAATGCCAAAGAGCTCAATTTTGGTCTCATCTGACAACAGCACTTTCTAAAAATACTTCTCTGAATCATTTAGATGTTCATTGGCAAACTTCAGAAGGGCCTGTACATGTGCCTTCTTGAGGAGGAGGTCCTTGCGCACGCTGCAGGATTTCAATCCATGGCAGTATATTGTGTTACTAATGGTTTGTTTGGTGACTGTGGTCCCAACTGCCTTGAGATCATTCACAAGCTCCTCCCATGTAGTTCTGAGCTTATCCCCCACTTTTCTCATGATCATCCTTGCCCCATGAGGTGAAATCTTGCATGGAGCTCCAGACCGAGGAAATTGATGGTTATTTTGTATTTCTTCCATTTGTGAATAATTGCTCCAACAGTTGTCTCCTTCTCACCAAGTTTTCTTGCTGATGGTCTTGTAGCCCATTACAGCTTTGTGCAGATCTACAATCTTGTCCCTGACATCCATTGACAGATCCATTGACTGGTCTTGTCCACGGTAGTGCCCAAGAAAGAGATTCTGTGGACAAGTGTCTTTTAAACATATAGTAAATTGTCGTTAGGAGCACCTTCTTAAATTGACAGGACTAATCTGTGTACAACATGAGCACATAACCAGTCTGTGGGAGCCAGAATTATTGTTGGTTGGTAGGGGAACAAATACATATTTTACTCACTGAACTACAACTCAATTTATAACATTTGTATCATGTGTTTTTTTCTGAATTTTTGCTTAATATTCTGTCTCTATAATTTAAAATACACCTATGATAAAATTATAGACCCTTAATTTGTTTGTAAGTGGACAAACTTACAAAATCTGCAGGCGATCAAATAATTATTTTACCCACTGTATACTGCCATACAGATGGAAACACATGTTGGTACTAATATTACAATACATGAATCCCTAAGGAATAGGCTCTAAAATGAACATTGGTTATACTCTACTTATCTAATTTGTGTGTACTCAGTACAGAAAAGTATACCTGATCATCACATCTGTGTTACCTTGTTGGACATCCCATCCCATTAGCAATAATATGAAGTTGCTCTCCATATTTGTGGCCTTTAACTCTTTTAGGAGGGCTTTTTGGAGTGTGTCTATCTGTGGGAATTGTTGCTCATTCTGCAAACAGAGCATTTGTGGGATCATGTATTGATGTTAAATGTCAAGAACTTTGTTTCATAAGCTGTTAAAGTTCTCTAACAACCTGTGGCCTTTCAGGTCAGATGTTTTAATTCCAACTGGCCATAACTGGAAAAGTTTCTGCTATTGGAAACTTCTTGTCTTAAGTTTGTACCGTATAGACTGGAAATTTTGGCTTTCTATGCCTGATCTTATCCAACTGTTTAGTATGAGTAACAAACACTTATATTGTTCAAACTTTTTTTAAGAAAGACATCAACTGACAACCCACATACAGTCAACTATGTTGAAAGGCGACTTAGAAATGTTGTGTAGGTCTTCATGGGACTATTTGAAATATAATAGACAAAAAATTGTAAACTCACCAAATTTTATAGGTACAAAGATAGGAAATGTTAAAATGAAAGCAACAAAAAAAAATGAGGATGACAGATAATTATGTACCTCTATATTGAGATATATTTACATGTTGGTCAATTTGAGACTCTACACACATACAAACACCTATAGAACACCACAAATTTTAGAAAACACAATATTTACTCTTTACATATAACTACCTTTCTTTGTTATTGGTGATTACCACTTTAACTTTTTCACAACACCTTAGCAAATACAATTTAGTTGATAATGATAACACTTCCAAACTCTTCATATTGTGTTCACACACTTTCACATTATTTTCTTCGCTGATGACTATTTCAAAGGTTACAGAATTGCATTTCAAAATTATACTGCAGGAAATCATTAAAAATGGCATTGCCATAATCATCTACAAAAGTTAGACTCATCTGATATTAAATAAGTAAATCTGTATAGCAAATAGAATTGCAAATAACCCGGTTGCACACGTGGGAACTACTTTTCGCTTGCAAATGACTTTCTATCCAATTTTAAAGTTACATCTCAGATAGACTGCTTCAGAATTTACATATATATTTTCCTCCCATCAAATCCTTAGTTTGATAATATTTTTCATGATGATTTACCGAAATGAGTATCCTTCAGTTAGTTAACGAAGATGGTCTAAGGGCCTCACCTCAATCAGCATAGGTAGTAACTCATATGTAATCAGAATAAGACGGCACATTTTGCCCATCAGCAATACAAGGCATCTCAGTAAAAATTATTTAAGTTTGATAGAGTGGGTGAGCAATATAAAACAAGCTGTTATATTGGGTAAGGGAGCTGTCATTTCCTGGGAATGACATCAAAGGAATTCTTAGATGAATTATTCCTCGGAATTGCTACTGATGTTTTATTAGTAAGAAACCTTTACATATTTCAATTTATTAAAAAAGCCTAATAACATTCAAACATGCCGAACCTTCCGACATGCTATCTGCATTTTAATATCCAGTTAATGGAATCGAGAAAGTTAATTCCAAAATAAATAAAAACTTTTATTTACATGGTTTGGCAGAGTGTCCATTCAATTATTCATGCATGTAAAATATTTAATAAACGAAGTTATCAGTAAAATGTAATTCTCAAAATAAAATGGTGGCTCTGGACACCATTGTACATCCAGTGCATTAACAAAATACCTTGCCTTATAAAGATGGCAGCTTCGGAAGTGCACAGTATTTTGTGACTACAGGATAAGGAAAGTTAGGAGATTTGTAGAGTCTCCTATGTAGACTACCATAAAAGCATCAGTGGAAGTACCTTTCTTCTAAGATGGGAAAATGGATAAGACAAAAATATGGGCTGGGTTTACTCCAGCTGTATGCAGCTTCAAATTTTCCAGTTGCATTAACTCAGAGGGATTGGTTTACTAAAGAAGTAGAAATTTCACTTAGGGAACCCATGCCTAACCCATGTTCAAATACCCAAACCTTTGCATGTGAATATAAGAAAATGGAAATTCCTATAACATGAACCCAACTTCACTGAGCTAAACCAACATTCTGCTCCCATAGAAAATGAACCTCAGTGTGTCTGTTAAAGCATAACATCATGAAATATAATAAAGTTTATCTAAAGGCAAACCTCTTCTTAGATTTGGATGGAGTAGTGAGAGAACCAGGTTTTTACTGCTGTCTATATTCCCATCAGGGAGATTCAATCTAATTGTACTGATCACCAATGCTAACAGGGAATGAAAGGAAGGGTAAATCTGAATTCGGGGGAAGAAATCTGATTATTGGATGGAGTGATGAAGCTACACCATGAGCAGAACAAATTTAAAAATATAAAATATTATTATTTATAGTAAAATGGGCATTGCTTCATTTGTACAGTTTGATATTTACATCTATGTGTGCTTCATGGTGAACTAACAGTTTATCATGACCTATTATAGTATATTTTCTTATCCATAAACTTACCAACCTCTGCCATTGGAGAACAAAAACCTTAGACTCTATAAACTAAATAATGGAACTTTGCCACAAAACTATAAGGGTTGTGGAAGAAGAACAGCATTATAAGCAATCATACCAGGAGGAAGTTCATTGTTTGTCTCTTTCAGAACAATCCCTGGCTATTGATGAAACAAAGTCTCAAGCAGAGGCTTTAGAATTTAGCCTTCCACCCCACTCTGTATATATTTGCAGACCTGAGGACTTTGTAGTTCTATTATCTAATTTTAATCAGAATTTAAATATGGTTTGGACTGTGTCTGTTCTTTCTTCTGGGGATGTAATACAAAGATAAAAAAACAAACACTCAGCTGGAACATAATCATGAATTTTAAGCTATTATGCACGCCAAGACATTTTGTTGTGCTGTTGAGCTTTAATATAGACAGGTCAAAGGTGGTAAAGAGTGTCCATGTTTTTTTGTGCAAGTCACAAACCAAAATCTGACCAGAATCAGTATTTTTCAGTCCTTACATGTATTCATGTATTCTGTGACACCTAATCAGTAGCTTTCAGGCTACTTGTATCTCAGAGTTTTAGCTGATGTTACTAATAGTTCCCTTTCAGAAGGAGATCAGTACCTGTATCTAGGAACCCTTGCTGAATTATATATGCCTTCAAATCTGAAGCAAAAGTGAGGTTGCTTAAATTACGTAATTTCAAGTGATTTATTGATAAACTGCTATAACTAAAAGTAGATGACATCTCTCAAGTACTTTAACAGGCTTATATACC